CCTGGGAGCATTGAGAATACCTACAAGAATCAAGCAAGTCATAAGAGCCACTTTAAGAAAAGGTCAACTGAAGAACAAAAATTATTTACAAAAGTCGCTTCTTGCTCTTTTTGTTCCTGTCTGTAGGCAGGGTGGAAGGAATTTTGTGGATGATTATGTAAGCCAATAGGCCGTGATTCCAAGTTTTCATTCAATTCCATTCTAATCCATCCTAGAGGGAATAAACATCAAAAGAGCCAGCTGTATCTGAATATGCGTAAATGGAAATAGCAAAAAAGTCCAAACAAAACAATTTCTAAGCATTTCAATAGGATTGCTTTAGAAGGTTATGTTGTCATTCTTGAACAAAAACTGGCCTTCAAAAGTGTTGACTGAAACTCTCACTGCTTCCGCATGCTTCCACGTCCAAAGTGAAATGGTTTAACCACTGATTCTCTCAAATTGAAAGGCTATTCTTACTTCTGAAACTCATCCAAATAACTCCAGATACATATGGTGAAACAAGAAGAAATAACCTGTCCAATTGGTCCCATTTTCAGTATGTTCTGGAATTGCTCGTACATAATCCTCAATGTGAAATTTCCTTCAGAAAGCTTTTGAAGCAGCTCAGGCTGTTGATCCATTGGGACAACTTCATGAATTTTGTCCATGAAGCCAGACCAGTCACCCATGCCTAGAGCAATTAAAATTATGAACATCAATTGTGAGCCATAACAGGGTAGCCGAGAGATAGTTTAACAGAAACATTGCAAAGGCAAAGACAAGTACATCAGACTACAGGAACAGAATTACAAACCTAAAAGACGGCTTACGAATGGTTTTACATCAAAAACTTCAAATTCATCCATATGTTCACCAGTCCAATAAATATGACAGGACTTTTAGTAGCCGCAACGCTGCACATGGAAGTAGAAAAGTCATCACTTCATTACTCCATGAAACTCTACTACCAGCATCTCAATGAGGAGCGTCTAGGTGCATTCTAAAATTAGACAAATCAAGCAATACTTTTATTTATTTATTTATTGTCATTAAATATGTCATCTTTTCTTCCTTGAGAGTAACAATGAGCTTCGTTTAGGTTTCTGCAGATTCTAGTTTTGTTAGCCCACTAAATATCATCATCTACGTAGTCTTAGTATAAAAAGGATGACCCAGCTAACTTCACAGAACTAGTTTTCCAGCAAATGAGAAAATTATAAATGTCTCAAATGAGCAACAGATAAGTCCGTATCCAAGGAAAACGTATGAAGTCTGCACTTACGCACTAAGAGCACCACCTCCCTTTGCATGACCATCCATTTTAGTAACAATAACAGCTCCAACTGCAACACTTTGCTTGAATGCTTGGGCTTGATCAAAAGCTGCCTGACCGATACTGCTATCCATGACAAATATAACAAGATCTGGATTCTGAAACCATCAGATATAGAAATTAAGCAAGTTCCAGTTCCTGAAACCTTCAGGAAGGAGAAATTTGGATCTTCAAAAACATATAAACAATGGAGAGTAGAAAAACACACAGTTGCTTCGGAAACTTGACGCATCTCTTCAAAAAGGGCTGCTTCCTGTTTGTGGCGTCCACTGGTGTCAATAATTATAAGATCACAGTTTTCCTTCTTGAATCTTTCAACACCTTCAACTGCTATTTTAACCGGATCTGACTCCATGTAGCTGTTATAAAATCAACACATGCACAATGAACTCCTAGCATAAGCAGTGAAAGAGCAAAAAAAAAAGTGAAAAGCTAATGAATCTAAAGAAAGAGCAAGATCTAATCCTAAACATCAATTGCCAAAGTACTCAATTTGAGCATTCAATTAGATTATTCCTTTAAAGAATTGATGCATTAAAAGAAAGAAAAAGAAAACGAAATAAAAATGCAACAGTGGGGAAAATAGCAAAACTACAGTAAGCAAGTCCCTCTTCAGATCACAATTCATTCTTAAATCCAATCTTCAAGGGCCAATTAATGGGGTTACTGAGCATAAACGTCAATTTCCAGTTAAGAGTAACTATAAAAATAAATCCGATGTGACTAGGGACTGAAGCTCCGAGCAATGCTCAAACTTCAATCTCAACTAAAGCAATGTCTCAACATGTATGGATTAAAAAAAATAAATAATAAAAAAAAAACTAACAATCAGAAGATATGAGCTACTAAAAAGGTAATGAGAGCCCTTTCTCAATTGTCTTCCATTGACTAGTTAGAAAGAGCAACAAAAACCATAAAAGTTTCATTGAGCAAAATGATAATAATTTCATTTATCTAAACCATATATCTGGTAATTAATAGCAACTTAATACATTTCGTAGAAATTTGGCAAGAATTGTGCCATGGAAATGGAAAGATTATGTAAGCTCATCCAATCTAACATTACAACTGTATGAAGGCCCTAAATCAATGAAAAGACACAAAGTTTGATACTTCAGCGGAAAAGGTACCTTCCATAAAAGGGGATTTTACCTTTTTTGCATTTTGCTTCAACTGATCAAAAGCACCAGCCCTAAATGTGTCGGCACATACCAAAGCAGGTTTCCAGCCTTCTTCTTATGGTAGTACGCGTATTTTGTACATGTAGTAGTTTTGCCCGACCCTGTGAATTATTCATGAAATGATCATATGTATCTCACCAAAGAAGAGCACAAGCAAAAGAACCTTCTGCAATGACAACAATTTGGAGATCTAGACGAAGAAAGTTAGCACGATAAAGAATTTCACTGGAGCCAATCAACCACATGATATTAGGCTAGATCCAACAGCTGATAAAAAATGTTTCAAGTTAGTTAAGTAAGACAGAACTCAGAAGGCATCAGTCAAAAACATTCAAGTACCTTGCAATCCTACAAACATTACGATACTCGTTTGCCTTTCTTAGGGGTGAATGAAGGTTTTCCAGAGATCCAGCATTGCAGAGCATTAAATATCGCTACAAACAAGAAAACCATCCTAAAAATCAGAAGATGGTAAGAAAGAAAAGAAAGAGACAAAGGCTGAATGCAGAGGGACTGTTGTCAGACAATGTTAACCCAGAAGAAAAAGAAGATATCAAGTCAATGCATCTTGTAAAAGTCATCAAACTTGGTAGACAACTCGAAATATAAGGAACCAATCTTACAAACCAGTCCTTTTCAAGCAACTCTACAAAGTAATTGCATAATTTCATATGAATGGCATGCAGAATTCCCATCCTAGATTAGCCAAATTTAATCCCTCCATACAAGATGCTTTCACTTTTGACCCCCAAAAAGTTCTAGAATGTAATAGAAACGATTCAAAAAACTAATGGAATCCAAGTAGAAAAAAATTGAAGTAATGGAAAGATCTCATAAGAATTTTATATACAGCAGCACAATACATCTGCTCTTGATCTTATATTGAGAAAACAAATACTTCCACTCGAATTCCATTCCATTTGTATTTTCATTATTGTTCAGCCTGCATGCGTTAAAGCTGTAAATGGAGGGATGTAAATTTCCAAGTTAACCCTTGAAGCCTTGTTTGATAGCAGCAAGAATGACACATCGAAAGCATCATATCTATTACAAAATATTTAATATCATTGTACAAATTTGTCAGTTTCATACAAAATCAAATCAGAAACTGTCCCAAGTCCACAAGACAATAGCTCTTCAATTTCACCTGGCAAAAGGTCCACCCTTAGCTTAAACTGCTTCTCTACGATCCACAGCCAAATATTATGCTCTATAACCAACACCACCAACAACAAAGACACTGCTTTTCCAAGCAATGAAACCTCATCCGACTGTCACCCACCTAAACCAATTCCGCAGTCACCACCCTTCGCAAATATACACTCAACCTGACCTCAACCAAAATTTGTCCTCTTCTGTTTTCCTATTTTTCACCCCTTAACGAATGATTGAGTCCAATTTCAAACCAGCACCCTCAAAATTCAGTTCTTGGACCCAAACCATTGCAAAATAAATTCCCTTCTTTTCTTCTGACTAAATTGAAGCATTCATTCAATTCAGTAATCAACTAATTTCTTTTTGCTCACTCCAACGATTCTCCTCCTTTCATTAACAATTTATCCCAAACTTAAAAAAATCATATAAAAAATAGAGAAAAGGCCACAATTACAACACCAAAACTATAGAGACAAAACCAAATTAATAATCACGGACTAGAAATGAAATATACCTGCTGGATAATCCTACGCTTATTGTGACCAGCAGCGAGGTCATCCAGATTGACGATCTTTTTAATATTAGTCTGCATATCTCGGACAAGTTTGAATTGAACATCGGCTTGAAGCAAAGCCCTGGTGATCTCGTTGAGGCATTCGTTAAGAACTTTTTCATCGATGATTGTCGCATTGCTCATCTGCTGAAGAGCACGCGAGATGCTCGATCCTAATTGCGCTAACACCATCTTTACTGCTTTGTTTCAGGTTTTCCCCCAAAAAAAGAAGAAAAAGCTAATTTGATAAAAACACTAGCAAAATTGATTGACTTTATTAAGGAAGTAGAAACAAGGATTGTTTATTGGGAGAATTCAATCCCAGATAGACGGAGAACTACAGAATAATCTGGTATTATTTAGGGTTTGGGGATCAGTAATAAAAGGTTTCACCACCGCCGGTGAAGGGTAGAAGAAAGAAATGAAACGTTGGAGACTTTGGAGCGGAAAAACTGAAACGGGAGAAAAGGGATGGACTGGGCCTGTGAGTTAGGCCCTAGGGAGGATTACATATTGGGCCCCCAATTTCTGGTGATGGGTACATAGCCTGATTAAAAGAAAAAAATCCTGGATTTTTTAATTTTTAATTTTTATTTTTACCCAGCATTGAAAGGAAGGGTGGGATTAAGAAGAGAGGAAGAGGAAAAAAGATTTGAACATAAAACTCTGAATTTTGAGGTTTCAACTTTAATCAATGCCTAACTTTTTTTTTTTTTTTTCAAAATATCATTTCACTTAACTGTCAAAAGAAATGCGTATGCTTAAATAGGAGATTGTTTGGTACATATGGCATAAAACAAATGTACCAAGTACAATACGGGGAGGCAATTGAGCATAACTATTTTTATCCACACTTTTTTTTTTTTTTGGCAGAAATGTTGGTAAACGTTGGATCGCTATTAGCCAAGGGGAAAGCAAATTTCCACGTTAGGCTCTCAGGCCAAGCCGGAATCACATCACAGTTAATTCCTGTCCACATAACTGCTTTTTCTGTTGCCTGTTGGTACGTCGAGTTGACGGATATGGCAGCCGTGGCTTCTGCAGCCGCTCCACTAGTTCTAAAGAGTTGCTCCCCGGCTTCCAAAAACCCCCTCCAAATGCTATCAGAATTGCCTTTGCCAAACCCAATACATGCTCTCCCAAAATTTCCAAGACCAGAGCCGGTCTGGTTCGAGCTTTAGAGTCTGAAAGGGAAGAAGCAAATTCCGACAAAGATGGCCCTGATGACATTGCATCCTTGTTCCAGGTTAGTCCACCCCACATCTTCATGCCCAACTCAAACCTCTACAGCACCTTTGGTTTAAAGCTAAACCCCTTTGTGTTCTATTTTGAGTTAGGAAGATTTGAACTACTTGGTTAAGCTGGGAGCTGGTTCTGTGGCGGGCGCGGCTGCAATAAAGTATGGAAGTGCTGTTTTTCCAGAGATAACAAGACCCAACATTATAGAGGCTCTTGCCCTAATTTCTTTCCCTCTCATTGCCGCAGTCTTGCTGTTGATCAGGCAAAGTCGTTCACAGTGAAGCGTCTGACTGACGTCTGCGGCTAGTCTTTTGCCGTAAATATGAAATGTTTTTTCTTGCTACTCGTTTCTCCATCGAGAGGAACTTAGAGAGGAGGAATATATTGGTTAAATGCGTTCTTTAGAAATAAACCGCTGATTTAAACTCTACTGCAAAATTTCTGTCTTTTTACATGCAGCAAGAATTCAACCTGGTTGCCGCGTCCTTCAGGTTCACTTGACCGTAAGATGTTGAATTAGTCAAATTTTATTTGTTGCACTTGGATACAGTATTATTTGAAATAATTATTACAATATTTTTTATGATGTAATGTATAAGAGATAAAAAAATGATTGAAAATATAAAAGTGTGAATTAAGAAATGTGTTTATGATACAAACGAAATATTATTTGAAATATTCTTGCTATCCAAACACTCCATCGATACGTTTTCTGGCCAGGCAGAGAATGTAGCTGCTGTTCAATATCCACAATTCTACATATAAATTGATCACAATGAGAAGCAGTTCCTCTCAGCTGAATCCAGCTCTAATAGTCTCGAAGTAAGTGTAATTGCAAGCAATGTAGATTTACAGGGTTGACCCAAAAAAAAAAAAATAAAAGAATGGCAACTAGGGTTTTCCTCAGTTTCTTCAACAGAGCTTGAGAAAGATTCAGTTTGAAGCAAACAATGCTGCACCGTCCATCTTTGCTTGTTAAGCGAGGCGCCCAAAGCATAGGACATGCGTTGCAAGAAAAAGCAGGTACCTAATGGGACTCCTGACCACAAGGATGACTATAGGTTGTCTTTCAACCATTTTAGTGCTCCATTTGCAACAGACCTGCAACCACAGAATCATGCACAAGTCAAGATAACATTTCAAGATATGTGGCGTTCAAGACATAGTTAACAAGGCAATAGGTTGTCTTTCAACCATTTTAGTGCTCCATTTGCAACAGACCTGCAACCACAGAATCATGCACAAGTCAAGATAACATTTCAAGATATGTGGCGTTCAAGACATAGTTAACAAGGCAATAGCATTCGAAGACTTCAACATTCAGTTATTGAATAAGTTAAAATGACTCAGCAGCATAAAAGATCACGAGAAAGCATGTTTATTTCCACAACTCATGATACAGCAAATTCAGTTATAGCAGACGCTTATTGACAATTTATTGAACTGAACAAGATTCTGAGGAAGTATTCTTGACAAGATAACTTCATAAACTAGAGAAATTGGATTAAGAAATCTGGAAATTAACTGATTAGAATGGGTTTGTCTTATTCCCCAGCTATCAACCATGTTCGTCATTTGGCTACCTTAATATTCTGGTAACTACATAAAACAAGCCAGCTAGTTAACAATGTAAAAGAGAACACGACAACCCAGAATGGCAGGGAAGAATTGAAAGGTCTTACAAGAACCGTCTCTCAACGGTACTAACCACTTGCTGAAAGCATAACAATGTGGGGCCAAATTCTGAAAAATTAGTATCTACGACATAATTTTACAAAGTACAGGGAAGGAATTTACCCAGCAAAATCTGTAAACTTCTTCCACAAGTCGTTCTGTTCTTCGGATTCCTCACTATTATTCGTAGCAGAATCTGTTTCGCTTTGTACAGTTTTAGCTGTAAGGTATAGCAATATTATCTGTTGTTAGAATCATCTAAAACGATGGCAGCTAAAGTGCATTTAGCATGAATAGGTACAAATGGTAATAACACTGTAAACTTAGCAGCCAGGAACATCATGAGTTGTTCATCAGCTGAATAAAAGGAATGAAAGGCCAACAGAATAACGGCCTAAGAGAAGCTTTGTCTTCTGTCCAATAGATTATAATCAATACTTACTGGTTTGCTGAACGTTAGGGCGAGTTTTTGAACGTTTGCCAGGTTTACTACTTAGAGAAGCAAGTTCTTCAAGCAATTCACGCTCTTGTGAACTGTACAACCAAAGAACATTAAACAATAAAATGAACCATTATGACAGCAGAATAAAGACATAATGAGGCCATTGTTTTTTTTAATTAGAAAAAAGTCTAGCTAGGCTAGTATGCATTCCTGAAAAAGCTTTTTTGTGAGCATGCAAGTACAACATTCTCACAAGACCATCTAAGACAGTACCAGAGACATAAAAAGTTAGTAATCATGAGTTAAGCGTCAAAGGATACCTTATCTTTTTTGGTATACTAACTTTAACGGTGAACAAGTGATCACCGCGTATTGATGGCCTGTTCAATTTAGGTGCACCTTTTCTTGCCAAGACAAGAACATCCCCAGGCTGAGTGCCAGGAGGAATTTGGAGATCACTAAGCCCTTCAACTGTTTTAACCTATAACAATACAAGGACCAGACTGATTGTTATCATTTTTAGCCACAAGTAAAATTTTTCAAAAGAGACATGCTGATGTTTAAGCAAAACTAGTAGTCACCACAGCGGATGTATACTAAACACCCTGTCCATGGACATGATTAAATCTATATGGTACACTTAATAATCATCAAGAGTAGGTGTACCTTGGTAACTGTTCCTAATATAGCATCCAAATAACTAATTGAAACAGTAGAAGAAAGATTTATGCCATCTCGTTGAATCTCTGGTATCTCTTCAATATCAAGATATACATAAAGATCTCCAGGTGGTCCTCTGCAGAAAATTAAAGGGGAGGATTCAACAGTCAGAACAAGCACATCCAAGACATCATCTCACTCTGCATCATCCTTTTGTTATATCTTTTGAAGCATTAACTAGAATGTGTAAAGGGCTATAATCTTAAAATGTTCTGCAGTTGACCTTCACAATGCATCTAAAGAAACCAGCTTGATACGTAATGGTGACTACCCTAATTTTAGATGTTAAAATAACAGTGTCATCAAAATCTAAAACAAAAGGAATCGCATAAAAAAACTTTCTCATGAGGTATAGCCAGTACAAACTACAGGTGCACAATAACATAAACTATAATTCATCAATCATACCCCTTTGGTCCAGCATCACCCTCTCCAGCAACTCTGAGAATACTGCCCTTGCCGACTCCAGGAGGAATTTTGACTTTGATATCTTTCTTCACTCGAATCCGCCCCTGACCAGAACATTTACGACAGTACTCAGAGATCATTTCACCATTGCCGCCACAATTTGGACATATTGAAACCTGTATGGTTGTAATGATAAAGTAGAGTTAGTAACTGCCATAAGGGGGATAATAAAGCCAGAGTATCAACAGAGGAATTTGAAGACAAGTTGCGCAAAGGTAGATGATAACTGCAAATAAAGGGCAAATGCATATATATGATTTCTATTATTGCTCAACCCCAAAAAATTATACATCATTATTGCCAAACCCCACATAAACCTCCAAAATATGAACCATATATTTTCATTCTTTTGTACTTGAAACTTCCAGTTTCCAGAGTGTATGTCATTTAAGCAGATTGATCATTAGTCTCTCCTTGGATAATTATCTGAGACACATCTCCTTTCTTTACTTCAGGTGCTCCAATCAGTATTATTGACTTCCAACAACAATGCCCTTGCATGGTTGACATTGAGATTTAGTCAGTTCCTTTTGAACTTTTCATTTATCCACATATCGTTCAGCAAATTTTGTTCTTAGTGCCAGCATAAGGACAGGGTAAAATGAACTTAAAAAATGAAAACAATGAACATGAGAAAATTGAAATTACTACAGGCGATGGAGTTATGAGAAAAGAACTGGCAGATTTAGGTTTAAAGCGCACATTCAACACTAAAATTCATCAAACATAATGAAAAGGCATTTTTTTTTCCACCTCCGCATTCTCAATAATGAGCTTCTTTTAACGGCACCATGACATGACAGCAAAGATGTTACTTAATCCTAGAGTATGGACTAAAACTGAGAAAATGATCCTTAGTATATCTGATTAATGTAATAAGTAGAAACTTCATAGTTCTATTGACAAAGCATACACCACTAGTTATTGCATCATACTTGAATGCATATAGATAGACAAGAAAACATTTAGATAACAGGCATGCATTGTGTTTATATACAGAGCAACCGGTATACATTCCATTTGTCGTGAAGAAAAAGTATTGAAATACCTGCGAAAACATTCCAAAAGGTGTTTGTTCAGTTCTCATAACCTGGCCACGGCCACCACATGTTGAGCATATCCTCATTTTAGAGCCTGTCTTTGCTCCAGTACCAGCACAAGCTTCGCATGTCTCAAGGTGAGAAAGCTCAAACTCTTTTTCTGCTCCAAATATAGCAGCTGAGAACTCGAGTCTTATGTCATAACTGAAATTCACCATGTCCATGAGTCGACTCAATTAAGGAATGCTTAACATATAGCAGCTCATGAAAGATATACTAAACAGTAGACAGATGGAAGGCAGAGAAGCAGAATAGACATAAAACTTGGCATATGGAACACGTATCCTTTTATCAGTCAAAATCAATTGAAGACAACGCTAAATTAACATACTTCAAAGAAGCATTATGCAGAAAAAAGGTGGAAACTTTACACCATAGGGCCATAAAAAAATATTAGCCTGCCAGGAGTTCCATAAATTAACTGCAGTAATTCATCATCTTACCGTAAATCTTCACCTTTAGTGACAGTACTTCGCTGACGTGTTCCAAAACCAGTTGCATCCATTCCAGGGAAACCCATACTAGGTCCGAAAAAAGTCTCAAATAAATCAAAAGGGTTTGTCTGTTATGTGATCAAGGAAAAAATGTCAGATCAAAGTAGTATGATGATGTGGTATAATCACATACATCTCTTTCATGTTGATCTCATGGTTTATCATAACGAATGGATCCACTAAATGCGTATGAACCATCTATTAATCTAATTTTAATTATGGTGATGTCCTATTCCTTTAACTTGAAAGTAAGTAAAGTAAGTGCATCAGAAACATTATCCTGAACCATTATTGAAATTGGAGCACAAACAGAAGGTGAACTCTGAACCTAAAATCATAAACCTGTATCTAAGAGCTCATAACCATGAGAAACTGAAAAACATTATAGAAGACATTTGTTCATGTAATACTTCACTGCAATAAGACTAGGAAAACATCTACCAATAGTATATACATGTTTTTATCTTTTGACTGATCAGCGAGAGAAGAAAAGGCCTTTGAACAGAAGGGTACATTAGTTTATTGCTATACCAAATGCCAAGAAACTCTGCATTCATATGGAAAGAGTAGAAAAAGATCCCTAAGCTAGAATAGGAGAAATCACATCATCACTAATTTGTTAGCAATGTAAACGGAGGACATCACATCACCAAAGTGATACATGACCATGATATACACTTTGGGAGTAAGATGAAGCGTAAATATATGCCTCTCAACAAACTTTGCAATAAGATGAATGGTTAATAGATGCCTCTCAATACAAATTATCGAATTAACTTTCTTATATGAACAACTTCGAAATCTAAAAAACTAGAATTTCAGTGAGTACCGTATAAGCCCCTGCTTGTCCCCCCATAGAACTATTAACTCCAGCTTCACCATATTGATCATATAAGGCTCTCTTTTTGTCATCTGATAGCACCTGACCATGTTACAATTCAGAGTCTGCCATTTGATAAGCAGCAAAAAATGTAAAGCAGGGAATGAATCAAACTATCATTCTTTAAGTTGTGCCACAATATTGCTCCAACTATTTTGAAACAAAATAACATGTGCAATTCTCTCCTAATAGTCAGCAGCCAACAAGAAAAAGATGCTTTCGGGATTGAAGTGTTCTAGTGCATAAATATCATTCTCCAGTAGCAGAAGGAAAATTATGAATAAAAATAGAGTTCATGGTTGATATCATGATAAATATATTAGTTCATCCACGTCAAATTCTTTACAACATTAGTTATATCCAAATAAATGAATAGAGAAACATACAATCAGTCACGTACTGAATATTCCTGCAATAGCTCGTCAGTCAAAAGCAGTTACAATCATGAATTTCAATTTAACCCTTCCATTTGCAAGAATTGTAAACAATACCTCCACTGCAGCTTATAATCAGACAAATAATACTTAAAGAAGGAAGATTGCATGCACCTCCACAATTGCGAGTCAATCACACGAAAAGGTGGAGATGATGGAAAAAATGTGAAACTATTTTGATTCCTACAATGAAATTCTACAAAAGGAAGTTGTCAGCCACACTCCTCACCTCATATGCAGCACTGATCTCCTTAAACTTGTCAGTTGCTCCAGGTTCCTTGTTTACATCAGGGTGGTACTAAAAAAAAGTCATATGTCACATCACTTCATAAAATGCAAGGGATGCAAGCAATCCCAGATGTGGTTTTGTAAAGTCAAAGCAAGAAACTATGAGAGGAACATAGTCAATGATCCTTGCATAAGCACAGATAGTTCTGCATGTTTGATAGAATAGAAACACACCCATGACAGAGGAAAGGAAAAAAAAACTTGTAATATCAATCAATCAGGCAGCTAGATGCAGCTGTCTGCTGTGCTAAATTTAAGTTTAGAAAAGAACATAAAGAATAAGAAAAAGCAACTTCCTGCTTAAAAACAATCGACGATGACTGCACAATATGGAAAGTGAAAAGGCTTTGGGTTTTTTTTTTTTTGGGCCGGGGGGGGGGGGGGGGGGGGAGACTAGCTTTACCTCACTTGGTAAGTTCATATTACCAACTACAAAGAAAAAAAAAATTTTTTTTCCACTCCATTGACAAGTGAAAGATGAGTTACTTTTCATTTCAACAAAGAAAGCTGGAGGAAGATATGCAAGGAAGCTCTAACTTCATTTGCCACAAATTTTTGAAATGGAAATGCACAAAGCCACTAACTTGTTCTTATAACTTGGCACCTAATCTGCATCAGGATTTCCTCCATTGGACCATAAATAGATTATGATAAGTTGGGATGCATAGTCAATTACTAATCATAAACTGCTATAAACTTATCAGATTGATATGCAATAGCGTAACTTCACCTCATTGCTACTAAGATCAAAATTCCCACATGCACATTAATAGATAAATGAAGATCTACCTTCAATGAACCATGGAATCAGAACTTTTGACAAACCCGATAGAGTAAATGTAAGTAATAGAAAAACAAACTTACAAACGCATAAAAATGACTTGAGGCCAGTTGAGTACCTGCCGAGCTAACCTCCGATAAGCGGCTTTAATTTCCTTACCACTAGCAGATTTTGAGACCCCAAGAGTAGAGTAATAATCAGCTGCAGCCACAACCAATCTTCCAAACCGCCTTGCTGAAATCTTGTTGCTGAACTGAGGAAGAAGAAGATAAGGAGACAGAGATGAACTTCTTGTGACTCCGCAAATGGGTCCCACCAGCAAGAAACGAAGATGAAGACGAAGAAAATGGGAAGACTGGGGCAACCCTGCTTTGCGGAGGCTCAGAGGACGATAGGGTGAGGGTTGCAGAATTCGCCATTACAGCTGCAGAGTTCATAGTAGTAATGCAATCAAACCGTTTGATGTTTGTCCTAAGAGAAATTGAAGAAGGTGGTGAAATTTTTAATTTTGGTCATATTTTTTTGTTTTGTTTTGTTTTTGCCTTTTTCTTGGAGAAATGGGAGAACGTTTTTTCTATGGACGGAAGAAGGCTTACTGGAAAGGACGGAAAAGATGTGGTGCCGGTACGCGCTTCGGCGCTTGGAACTGTCGCGTCTTATTGTCAACGTGTTTACGTAGGTTAAAACATTTTGGGGAGAGTAAAAAGGAGGAGTACCTTAGCCGCCCTGCTGGGCTTGCCCCGTGGGTTCTTTCCCACATCGGTAATGGGGGGTTTGAAAATGGGTAAATAAGTCTCTTGGAAACCTTCAAAAGTTACCGACTTTTGAAGATTGTTCGGAGATCTAGATTTATCTTGCCGAATTTTTGAGTTTCTTCAAGCAAATGTCAGAAAAAAAAAAAGGAGTACCTTACTAAAACAAAAAGTATTCGTTTTTTTTTTTTTGTTTGCCAGAATTGTATAATCTTCTGTTTAGCAGGAATTACAAGTAGGTTGTCTTAAATTTAAAATCTATGTCTAGTATAATGTTTTAGGTACAAAATCTCTTACTCATAAAAAAAAAAAAAGTCTATTATGTTATTGTGTCATTTTTTCACATTTAAAAAAAAAATTTCTACTCTGGTGGACATTTTCACGACAAATGTAAATTAATAGATAATCCACCTCTTAATTTTTTAAAGAAAAAAAAAACAGTGAGCCTGCACGAACTTTAGAATTTTAACAAAAGTTGAAGTAAAAACTAGCATATGTAGGAAAAAAAAACTAGCATACGAGCCTTACATCTTCTTAACCTTCTGATTTGAGTCGCATTACTTTTTTGTAAGCATTTGTACCAAGTTGAATTATGATATCCATTTTCGTTTCGAACATACTAACTAGGAGTAAGTTGGGCCAGAAACACCAAGGCCACTGAGTCCTCATGTACGTTCATCGGTTTAGCAAGTCAAACTGCTTTATAATTGGAATCAATGCAACATCGAGACAGAAGAGAAATGATTAGATGCCGTTGCCAATCGGACGGTGATGCCGGCATGCATCTTAAAATGGGAAAGGAATTAAATTTTGAGAATGATGGTCTGTAAATGTGAAAATAATTGACGGAACAATCATTATTTCAGATATTTGTGGTATCCAAACACTCCCAATTTAACATGCTAAAGAAATTGTACGCTAGGGGTTGAGGATGGTGCGGTACAATCAGTTCGATCTGAAGGATACTTGTACCTGGCAGTCAGTCTGCAGCGCTACCATGTTTACTAGGTAGTTTAAGCGGCGAGAAAAAATGTGGTTTGGTTCTGAGCGCTCTTGAGAAAGCAAAGAATAATATGGTTCAACACACCCAACTTCAGTGTTGGCTTCTTACAAGCAAAGCAAACGAAACCAGCTGTCCTTGTGTTTAAGTTGTGAACAACATCCAAACAAGAGGGCAAACATTAACATGACACTTTGGCCCCTAGGCATAAACTTCGCATCCGGCCTTTAATCTGCTATAACTTAAAACCACATTACAACTTCTAGGAACACCCTATATGGCAAACAAATAAGCTTAGCGGCTCTATGTTGACAACTTCCACATCCTCATTAAAAGACATCTGGATGGAAACGTCCAGGATGGAGTTGCCTTGCTGAGCCTGCCGCAGATGCATTGTCAAGGCATAATTATTCACCTGCAAAGGCAACAAGAAGTTGAGATGGTTAAGATAAAGGAAGCCAACACGACAAAAAAGAAAAAAAATTAAAGAAAACTTGTCTCAAAGACAACTTTCCATGCCAGCAGACAGATTTGAATGACAGAATCTCTAATTTCTAGAAGGCAACACATACTTTATTCAACTAAATCATAATTAAAAACAAGAGGAAGCTCAAGAGGATCGATATTTACCTCAAGAGTTCTCAACTGCTGTTGATACTGAGCCACCAACTGCTTCAACTGCTGCACTTCTTTGGTTCCTATCATCATACTCCTTCTGACGCTCATGCTGGATAGCAACAGCTCGCTTGAGTATGGAATTTTCTCTAAGAAACACTTCAATTTGCTCCTTCAGCATCGTGTTCTCCTGCAAAAAGATGAGGACATTAATTGCAGAACCGCACAGGCTGACTTGTGCATGAGCAAGCTAGTCAAGTGCAATAAGCAATTCTTTCCAACCTTGGTAAACTTTCAGCTGCTTCAGCACCAACACGTGCACTAATTGATCTCTCTAAACTCTCCAAGACTCTTGAGGCACGAGATCTAGCATCATCTATGCTTGTAGCACTCATCATTTCCCTAACAAACAATTCCACCCATTCTGCTCCATCAACAGGAATGTTGCTTTGGGTAGAAGCATCTTCTGGAGCCACAGACACCCCTTCATCAGAGGAGCTAATACCTGCCAATTTGGTGTGTAATCATAAATTTCGTCTTTCAAATTCAACGACTCCAAGTACCAAAGTATGAGATGGAAACAGCCTAGTCCTAAGCAAAAGGAACCCTCAAAATAATAAGACATTTATCACTATACAGATCTTAATTAATGCATCACTAATATATCAGACAGACTACTAATGAACCGTAAAAACTGAAGCATTATGCAATTGACTTCCAACCACGCATGCTACATTTATCCATAAAATACCATTCTTCCCACGTGCATGTGCTTCCACCACAGAATGCAGCTCTCCCTCCACATATCCAAGACGAAGCTTATTCAAGCTTTTAATGGCAGAATCCAAGTTATGACCAAATTCTTCCAATGCTTTCTCAAGAAGCTGAAATTAAATTTAAAATCCATCAGGGATTGACCTAAGGGCATCATAAAAATCCGAGCTTTGGTATCCAGTAGTCTAAAATGACAACTTTGAGCAAACAGGTAGAGCAAAAGATCAAAAAAGAAAAGGAAGCCAGAAATTTAACCAAGCAATTGCACCAAAAAGAAGTAAATCACAGGGCATATGACTCGAGTGTTCAGACAAGTTTTTTTCCCTCCATCACGGAGAGCACCTTAGTAATAAGCACGTTTAAGACAGCTCAGATCATGCAATTTGACACTCAAAGTACTAGTATTTTCTTCAGCAGATAATAATTTGGACCAGGTCATTCACTACTCAATGGGATAAGATATCTCAAAAGGCCAGGCTGGAACAAGCACATCATAACTACATTGTACTCCCATGGCCCATTAGTGAACCTGGAAACTTGAAATCCAATGGAGGAAAAACAGTCATAAAACTTGTAAAATTGAAGAAATGCGTCCATCCAGCACAAACATCAAAGAATTCATTCCATTTATAAACAAAAAGATCATGACTTGCAATCGATACACGACCGGTGAATCATACTTCAGCCAATCTTCATTCAGCAAAATCACGACTTTTCTACAGCTCAAACAACCAAACAAATTTGAAATTTTAAGAGATTAAATATGCATAACAAAGCTTTTTCGTCAAAATCTTTCTAATTTTACAAGATTCGAAGAAGCAATCGTAAACGATTCAAACCCATCCGCTAAACCCTAACCCCTGCAAAGTTCATCAAAATCACCCCGCCCTTCCCACACATAGACCGATAGATGTACCTCCTTTTCCATATCAGGAAAGGCAGCCATGAGGCGATCAATAAGCGGCGGCTGCTGTGGCGGTGAGTGCAAAAATCGAACAGGGGAGGCAGAGGAGATGCACCGATGCTTCTTGGCTGCCGGCGGTGAGGAAGCGGTCGGCGACGGCGATTGCAAGTCGTCAAAAAACGATCTCTTTCCACAAACTATTGCAGACATTGTTCAACCCGTCTGCTTCTTTATCTCTAAAATAAATAATCCAGACCAAATCCTAATCCTATGCAAGAAATTCAATAGAATTTCACCTTAAAATTGTCAATCTGTTTTTGGTCCTTTCGCCGGTGAAAATCAAATTTTGGAACTTGGGTTAAATTAGGGTTTTGTCAAATCTCCTTTGACGTGCGAGCCAGATAAAAAGAGATTCAAAGCTTTTTCTTGTAGTGGAGGCTTTGTACGTTCCTCGGTCACACTGCCTCCTACTTTTGTGACTTGGGGAAATTGCCACTTTATATTTGAGGCGGTTGAGGATAGAATGTAAACGAATTGGCGTTGATTCACGTGCTATGGGCGAGCGTAGTTTAAAAGTTTCCTTATTCTGTGTAAACGTAAGGTGCATTTAATAAAACTAAAGTCTAAAATCTAAAATATAAAATTTAAATTTATTAAATTATTGAATTGTTAAATATTAAATTTAATGTATTTGAGTACATATCATATTTAATAATAACTAAATAACTTATCACTTAATTTTGAAAGTATGTTTTACCTAAAAAATTTAGTACCACATAATTAATTCAGATATTCAATTTTTACTTATCAAATGGTATGAATATATTAAGATTTAAATCCATTAAATTTAAGTGTTGAAATGAGTTATCAAACAAGACCGTAATCTTGCTGGTTGTTGCTCCCATAGATTCAATTTCTTTTTTAATTTTTTTTCCATTGCCAATTTGATCTTTTTTGCTTGTTTATTTATTTTTTTATTTCTCTCTTTTGTTAACACATTCTCTTGCTATTTTGTATGAAGTATATTGCACATATTTTACTAAAAAGTAATTATACATAATTTATCATTATTTATTTTTTAAAAATCAATAAATAAAATTAAACTTATTCTATATAATGTTTTGTTTATTAAAAAATAATTAAATCATCTTCAAAATCAAATTCGAACTCGAGTTCAAACTCAAATTCGCCCGTATAATTTAATGAGCCGAATTTGAGTTCAGACTCAAATGTTTATACAAATAAACGAATCGAATTCGAATAATATTTATAATTCGTTAATATTCAAGGCAAACTCGAACCCTATTCGAATAATATACAAACAGAGACTAAACATCAAGTATTCGACTTGATTCTACTCGTTAAAAGCTCTACTTTCTTCCTAGGTGCCAAAATTGAATTAACAAACATTACATTTGTTGTTAACCTTATTTTGACGGCAGTAGCTAGTGTGAAGTCTCTCCACACAATTAAAACAACCTAATATGAGTTTGCTGAGTTTGTAATTGATGGTCTCATAATTTTGTAGTGACTGTCCTAGATAAATAGGGTGCTTAAAAAAAACTAGTTTTCATTAAATCATGTAAAAGTGTGCATGATGGAGAGGGATATGATACCTTACCTCTTAATATAAATAAAATACAAGACATGCTTACATTTTAATAGGATAATCTCAACATGCACCATAAAGATGAAAATATGAAAATATTGCGGAATTTGACTTTAAATCTTATCTTGTTTGTATCATTTTATCAGTATTTGAAAAGAAAAAAAAAAGATTGATCTCAATGATTGTAGTTTTGGGGGAAATGATGGTTTGGATGATATAGAAAGAGGGAGTCTAAATGAGAAGTTTAGACTTGAGACCTGACCCAGCCATCTCCCTTCTCTCCCTCTCTCGGCCAAATAGCATAGGGGGAATGAGAGAAGGGTGAGAGGTAGGGGGAGGGAGAGAAGAAAAAGCCAAAAAAAAAAAAAAAATTTTCTGTTGCTGACAGGGTGAGGGAGAGGGGGAGAGAGAAAATGCAAAAAAAAAATTTTTGTTGTTGTTGTTGCAACTTTCAGCGGGTAGGGAGAAGGAGCAGGAGAAGAATAAGAGAGAAAAGAAAAGGAAAGAGAAAAAAGTTTTTCATCTTTAAAATTTTTCTTACAATTTCTATAATAAATTACAATAAAATTTTAAATAAATATTTAAAAAACTCATTTGCAATGGGAGCCTGGTCCCACTACTAACAAATGATCCTATTGAGGAAGGTTGACTTGGTGGAAACCACTGAGCTTAGCCACCACCTCTCCTGGTAGGGTGGGAGGTCAGGGGTTCAACCCTTGCCTCCCACCAAATTGTCTGTCCCTCGTGGGCAGTTCGGTTGGTCTCAACAAGTCTCCTTAGGAGCTGGTGTCCAGTGCCCGTAAGATTTCGAGTCCGTGGTTATCGTGTTCGAGAGATGGGGCCTCTCCTCCTAGGCCGGAGTGGGATTAGTCGGGCCCTGTAAGGATTGACCCGAACACCCACTCCGTCAGCAAAAAAAAGGATCAGAAATGGTCTGGTTTGATCGGATGATGGTTACATTGAGCCCATCCATTTCAAAAGATGGGCTCCGGGTGAATCATAAAACCCAGGCCCAAACAATTGACCAAGACTAGAATGCAGACTCAATTGGGGGAATTCATACACTATCTTTTTCAGCCAAAACTTGTTTAGACCCCGTCTACAGCCCACCATAAACCGAATAATCTAAAACTGACCACGTCAACCCATTTAATATTCATAACCTAGAATTCACTCCTGCTATTAAGGTATTCTTTCTTTCCCAATTCGGCTAGCCTCATTACCACGAAGGCCACAAAGGCTGCACTTGCTAAACCTCTACCTACCAGATGAAATCAACCACCAGCCCACCAGCAAGTCCTTAAGGCTTCGTGGCGTGGGAAGTCAAGGGTTCAATCGTTGTCAACCCTTGACCTCACATCAATTGTTATAATGTGTGATTTTTCTAAAAAATTCAGATAGATGTATAGTAGATTCATTTGGTCCAATGGTAGTTCGGTCTTCATCGGCTCCTATAGATCCAATTGGATCTTTCCATTAGATTAGGATAAAATAAAATTATACAGATAAAATGATGATTGACACAAAAAAAAAAAAAAGAAATCTACTAGATGAAATCCTTGGAGCAATAGACCCTATCTCATCTCTCTCAAGTTTCATATTTTAGTGCTATTGATATCTTTCCGCGTGCCCTTATTAAAGCAAAAGAGAAAAGATCAAGATTGGAACGATTTTTTGAGAGGAGGGAGGGGTTGGAGATTTCAGATTTTTTTTTTTTTCTTTTTTGAGAGTTTGAAGATAAAGAGTGAGATGAAATTGGGGAAGAAAGTACAAAAAACCCAAAACTGAATAATTGTTTTGCGACCCCAAATTCTGATTTGTTCAAAAAGCCAAGGAATTGACGGACACAAATGAAATGATGTCCCATCGCTTTCATTTTATGAATTTCTCATGTTTATATTCATTTTAAATTTTTAGATAAAGTCAAAAATGTCACACTAGAATGTGAGACGCAACCACGTCAATGGTCTGTTTGTCCCCGACACGGGAATGGCTGGGATGATCGGTTGTAAAGCACAATGAGAAAATTACGATTTCGAATCATATCTCATTCATTGCCACTTAAGGGCAATGCAGGCACAATAAACAGATCGCTCGTTGTATGAAGTTACTATAGATTTTGACGCCCAATCAACTCTAATTTTTATTCGACAAAGAGTAGCCCTATGTATAGTATGATTTAATCACAATAAAACCCTATAGTCCCATCTTGGTATCACCATTGAATTCTGGTCGTTAATATGTGATATCAATTGTTACAAAAGTATACAAACACAGAGTGATGTAGTTGAATTTCGTAACTATTTAATGCCAAAACGGATACACGTTACTCGAAGTTATATGATAGGAGTAGCTTATTCCTTGGGTCACTTGGACAAAAGCAAGAACATCCAAGTTTGCTAAGACCAAAGAGGCGGCGAAGGACGAGGTTGAGGTTAAAGTTGAAGAATGGGAGGTGCAGGTGTAAACAAGGGGTTTTTTTTTTTTTTTTTTTATTTATTGTCACCGTCTACGCCTACTTTTAATTCTACTCTAATATATAGTAGCCGGTGACCTGACAGAACCAAGGGAGTCAAAAAAGAGAAACAAAATCTCTACAGTTGGGGGCAAAATGACTCCTAGCCATGATAATTAGTTGGGCTTGGGTCCGGACCTGAGTTGTAGAGATTCAAATTTAACCAATTCCATCGTTGATCTTAGAGTTTGAGCTTGCGCTTGGTCGGAACTAGAAAAGGTGATTGAAAAATGTATTTGTGAAAAATGTGAAAATTTTTCTGCCGAAAATTGCAATCCATACAAGGACCCGGGAGATTAGGATTGTGGAGATTGAGCTGCGCATTACCCGGAAATATGGTACCTAATCCCACTTAAAGCCCAAACAAATGACTGCATTCTACCTTTGCTCACAAATAAGAAACCCTAATCTCCAATTGAAAGCAAATCTCTCCAACTCCATGTCAACCATCTCTCAGAAGATATAGTCATCATTTTAGAATTGTTAATTTCAATTCTTTGAACAAGGTGAGATCAGAACCGCTCTTTATAAGAATAGTTACGATTATAATTTGAAATTTCTAATTACGATTTCGGTTCTTTCTAGTCTTAGATAAACTTATTAGAATGGAAAGGAGAGCAAACGAAAGGAGGGATAGGGGCGCCTAACGAAATGTAATTTTGAGTGGTGTAAGATGCGGACTGGGGAGGCGTACACTAAGTCCTTTACTAAAAATATCCCTACTGGCTGCATGGCCGGCAGTGTTTAGGGTTAAAATGGGTCGCAAATGGTCGGATGACAACTTTTTTATTCTCTGGTTAGAGATGCGATGGTAGCTAATATCACAAGCCGCATGGATTAATTCGCAAATTGGTTGGGGAGAACTTTTATGAAATTCAGTTCCCAAACATTGATGAAGAAGTAACCACAAGTCTGTGGTGTGAATTGCAATCGATGACAGAATCCTTTATATTAGCCGCCCATAAACGAACTTAAATGTTGCAAGATATTAATTCCAGCAGAGAATTCCATTGGGGACAAACATTAGCACTTTGAAAGTACCAACCGCCAATCATTTATTTTATTGCCGAGGTTCTACGAGGATATACAATGGCTTCCCGTTGAGGCTGCAGCGGCCCTGCAAAAGATTCAACTATTAGTTTCACTCGGAAAAGGAACTCATTATGATAATTGGGCTCAATACAACAAATTGAAGCCAATGCAGCTCTCAAATCGGACACCCTTAGATTACATTTTATGACACGATCTAGAGTAGGGAATACACGAGACGCGGTGCCATCAGATAGTGATATCTACTCAAACGTATCAGATTTCAGTACTTATAACAATCTCATAACTTAATAGATTCATACTTCAGTTTTTTATCA